ACCCAGTCAACAGTGGGCTCTGCTGCTGGGCAGAATTCTGCTTGGAAAGACTCTTCGTGTCCAGCTGGGAACTTCCACCCACAGGTTAGAGTGCAGACGTCTGAAGCCACACACATGTGAGAAACATCTGAAATCTGAAGGAGGCCATGGGACCTTGGACAAGGCATCAACTGCCATGGTCCTCAGCGTCCCTTCTGTGAAGTGAGAGCCTGGAGGCGGTGACCCCAGTCATCCTCACAGACACGAGTTCACTGAATGTGGGCAGGGCTAAAGAAAAGCAACAGGAAAAGTTTTCTGAGTTTGAAAAAGAAGCCAGCAGTCCCACGTCTGGGTATCTACTCAAAAGAACCGAAAGTAGGGACAACAGATACCTGATATACTGATAAAGGACATCAGTCTTTCATTTGCACAGCACTCCCTTCTCATTCTCCCCATGATCCCCTGGTCTCTCTCCCCTGCCAACGCCTCCTACTCCACCACCTCCAAAGCTGGAGCACCCCTCAGACTTTACTCCCTAGCCAACCCCACCCACTCCCACAGCTTTAAATCCCGTCTATCCTCTGTCAACCGCTATACAGGGTGGGACAAAGGTAGGTACACAATTATGAGCACACAAAACAACTTATTCTTGTATTATTATTTTTTAACAAGAGGCCCAACGCACAGATATGCAAGAATAGGCCTTCCTTTCCTTGGCTGCCGGCACCGGTTTCCCTCCAGCACCCAGGACCTGGGCTGTTTTGCTCCAGCTGTTGCCAGGCACCTGGGACCCAGGCTGCTTTGCTGCAGCAGCCACCAGGCATGTGGGACCAAGGCTGCTTTGCTCCGGCCGCTGCTGCCACCCACTGAGGGCAGGTTCTGAGCCATGCCGAGCCACTCAGAGTATGTCTCCACCCCTGGTGTGTGTGTGTTGCTTCGGTGGGGGCGTCCGCTGGGCTGGGGGCATACCCAGGGGCAAGCTCTGTGCTGCGCCCCAGGGCCCAGCTCGGAGCACACCCCCACCTCTGGTGTGTGTGTGTCTCTTGGGCCGGGGGCAACATGCAGTCCCCTCCCACCCATCTGCGTGCGTGCGTGCGTGCGTGCGTGAGCAGCTCCTCCTGAGCGGTCGTGAAGCCCTGCTAATTTGCATAGTGTGTGTGTGTGTGTGTGTGTGTGTGTGTGTTATTGTATTAGTTTCCATACAAACAAGTGTAAACCTACTACTTTTGCCCCATCCTGTATTTATGCCTCCATCTACCCTTGGATCTCCAGAACCATAGCCCACTGCCACCTGGGCCATCAAGTATCTGTATGTGTTCAAGCAGAATTACTTGGTTTTCCTCCTAAAACTTCTCCTTCCTCAGACTTCTTCAGTGTAGCAATTGGTCACCTTTTCCCAGAACCTAACACCTTGGTCATGTCAGGTCCTTGACTCTAATCTTTCCTCCTTCTTCCCAGTCCAATCAGGACATCTTGTTGGCTCCACCTCCTGTGATGCCCCAGCTCTGCCTCCTACCCACCAGCCCTGCTGCTACCAACCGCCTGAGCCCAGGGGACCAGCTCTGCTGCCCGAGAGCCAGATCCAGCCACAACCAATTGTGCACATGTCCTCCACCTCAGCAGAGCCGAGTAACGGCAATAGTGACCACATCTGGCAACGATGAAAAAATGTACCCTCTAACCCTTCAGGGCAAAGTTTGCTGATCTCTATTCTAAGCACCTGATCACCGTTGACAATCCTTGCAGCGTTGACTAATGAGTTTGCCGACTACTGGCCTAGACTCTCGATTCCAATAATTGCAGGCTGTTGTTGTTCCTTGTGATTAAGCACCTAGTGTAATCCTCTAACCCAGTGTTTCCCAAACTTTATAATTTTCATAACGCTGAGTACCCCTCGTACTCCTGAGAATGTAGAATTAGGCGCAGCTAAGCATGGTGCAGTGCATATCCTCACCAAACTCTGGTGCAACATGTACCCCCACCAAATTCTTCCTGTACCCCTGGGGGTACGTGTACCACACTTTGGGAAACACTGCACAGGCAATAAAACACAACGTACTGCTCTTTGAGTGTTTGTTCTTTGCCTTCTCAGAAATAATGACGTCCCTTCCTCTCCATTTTCTGATCAAAACCCTCTGCCTACCAAGTGGCGCTCTCCTGCCTCTGTTCTCTCCAGCAAACCCTCACTGAAGACTAACTCCTGGAAACACCATGCTCACCCTGCTCAAGGACCTGCAATGGCTCCTATTGTCCCCCTCCGTGTAGTCTATACATCTATGTAGTTTTCAAAGATTCCGTATAACCCAGCCTGACCCTCCAAAGCTGATCAAGGCCCCACTGCTCCCCAATAGAATAATCCAATGCCTTCTCCTCTCCCAGAAGGTGCCATGTGCCTTCCCCAGGCAGTGCCTGCCATCCTTTTTGTCCCTATGCCTTCTTATTTCTATCATTTCAGTAAGTTCAAAACTCTCTCACACTGAAACCAAACCAAACTTCCTAGACCCCAAACCCTCCATTTACCATCGAGTTTGTGGCTTTCCTTTCTAGGATAGAGATTTTTCTAAAAGTGAAAACACATCTGAAGAAACTGTCTATTACTGTCATCTTTCCTCACCTCCCACTCACCCATTGCCATCCGGCACCCACTTCTCCACTAAAATCACTACTGTTGGGATGACTAATGATTTCACCAAATCCAGTAAGTTCTGTTCCACCTTTAGTGCACTGTTCCCTCAGTGGCATTCAACCACACTCTCCTTTTTCCATCCAGCTTTCTGTTTATTCCTTCTCAGTATCTTCTTCACATGTTTTTCCCCCACTAAACAGTGAGTTCCTGGAGGAAGGGCCCACGTCGTGTGTGGTTCTCTAATAGCAAATATACCAGAATGTATACGGCAGGCCCTCTGCCAATGTTAGCAAGCATCAACTCCCTGCCCCTTACTGTTTTCAGTTTGAGAACTTTCATTTCCCTGGAAAATTCTCCATAGTATCTTGATTCTTTGAACATTATATTAATGATTATTTTCAAGTGTGTGTTTGATAACGACTATTATCTGGAACTCCTGTGGGTCTTTTCCTAGTTCTGGTTTTTCTCTTGACTTTCTTACACCCTGCTTATTTTTAATTGAGTGCTGAACATTACATGTGGAAAAACTGGTGCAAGCATCTGAGAAGGGACCCCCTTTCCAGAGAGATTGGTTTATTTTTGCTTCTGGTTGGCAGGTAGGGAGGACCCTGACAATCTCGTATCTCACTCGTTCCGTTGTACTGACATCACTCACATCAGGGCTCTAGTCTCCCTGAGGGCTGGTTTCATTTTGGATGATCACTTCTCTTCAGCAATGGCCTTGAGTGTTGGACAGTGTCCTTCCAACTAAAGCAGGTCCCAATTTCAATTTTCATCTCCAGCTCTATGAACCTGGCAAGAGCTCTGTTCAGATCCCAAGCCAAGCTTCCATCCAAACTATCTAGACCTCCTCAGCCAGAAGAGAGCTCCTTAATCCTCACTCATTCTCAAAACCTAAGGCTTGCCTACCACCTGCTCTGTAAGAGCGCCCCTCCCACCCTGCAGGAGCAATGGGAGCCCAGAGACCCAATTCTAGCTCAGCCAGAAACTCGTCCTGTGGCTCCTAGGCGTGGCCTTTCCAGGGGCCCTTATCCTCCTGTGTAAAATGCAGTTGGATCAAATCTTTAGCTTTCCTCCTGCTCTGAAAGTTTTGCAATCTCTAACCCATCTGACGTAAGGACAATCCCATGCTATACAATCAATCCCCTTCTGTGGATCCTACTTGGCCCAGCCTGGTGACGAATTACAACTTTCTATTCCCTTAAGAACATTATCACAAATGGATTTACAACTACAACAGCACGGATTTAGATTTGCACGCAAAGTTGTTTCATTTCTGGAACTGTGCCCTTTCGTCCTGAAGAGCCTTATTATTTCGTGCCCTGGCTATAAAGTCATGCAAAATGGATGAGAACCCAAGCAACGCGAAGGCTAGAAAGTCAAAGAGGGGGAAAAAGCCCAACCCCAAAGAAGAGAGTCACTGTAGGGCATCACTGTGCTAATGGCACGTAATTAATAAACATGAGGGGAGCAGGCCTGAGTCACAGCCAAGGACTGAAATTACTCTTTGTACACAAGGAGGACGCTGACTGTGTTTGGCAACAGGCCAAGGTGGGAGAGAGTCAAACAGACTTCATCTTTGCCTTTTCCAAAGCTAACCTACCTCACTTCCCTCAGTGGAGGAAAAGACACACACACACACACACACACACACACACACACAAACACGTTCTATCTGTGTTCACCCTGGACCAAAGAACCAGTGGTAGAAGACAATGACAGGCTGAAACAAAGCATTACTTTCATAAATGCATAAATGCAGGGAAGACATATTGGGGCCTCGTCACTCTGCTCAGCCTCTTTCCTCCCTCCCTGGGCTCCCTCCCACCTCCACCACCGAGCTCCTGGCCTGTACCTCTTCCCTATAGGACACAGGCGTCTCCTATGCAGCGTCTCCCCTTCCTTACAGTGTCTGAAAGCAAAGGAACCTATTCCAAAAGCTGTGCTGTAGTCCACACGCCCAGAGGGAGTCATCCCCAGGCGCCTCAGTGCTCAGTCACGCGCTGGCTAGAAGCAAATGAACTCTCTGTTGGTCCCACAGCTATGTTTTGGTCCCCTCTGCCGCGATCTAACAATGCTCATTCAGGTGTTCAGAATGTCCACCACGCCAGGCACTCAAGCGGGCATTAAGGATAGAAAGGTGACGAGCATGCATAAGGTGCCTGCCGTGGTGGAGCTACAATGCAAAAAGTGCCTCCGTTTCCCCATCTGCTAAATGAAGGGGCTGGACCATGCTCCTTGGGGGCTCCTTTGGATGTTAAAGTGCTACAGTTGTACAATCGGAGTTAAGCCTTGGTTGGCCATATGAATCTGGGCGGCAAGGGATGGCACAGCCTCTCTGGGCCTCGGTTCCCACATACAGCAAACGGGTGACGTGTGAGAAAGTCCCCATTACCTTGTGCAGGCACAGGGCGAGGATTCCAGGGTCACCCTGCAAGGAGCCCATCTGCTGAACGGCAGCCCAACAGTAAGAATCCACGAAGGCAGCCTGGCGCCAGGAGAAAGAACTCGGGGAGAAGCAGCTGATCTGTGTACCTGAGAAACAGAAACAGATGGTACCCAGGTGAATGTTAGCCCAGGGTCTGGTCCCCGCCCACCCCGCCCACCTCTCCCCGCTGCCTCCGGTTTTCAGGTGTGAGCTAAGTCAGGGAGCACCACACAGGTGTAAGGGCAGAGCGGAACCAAAAGCCCACATGTGTGGTAAAGCTGAATATTGGAGAGTTTTGGGGGGCCAACACTGTCATGACAGCAGCTTGGGCTCCGGTGGGGAAAGACTCTTGAAAGAAGCAAAACCACCATAAAAAGAAAAAGCGAGCAGGAAAAGAACCAGAGCCGAAAATGTAAGGAGGAAACCTGCATAGAGTTGGTTCCTTTAGGGGTGAAGAATGAGAGAAAGGAAGGGGACTATAGGGTTGGGTTGGGGGAGGGAGGAGGAGAGTCAGAGCAGACAAGCAGACTAGGAAGGAAGGCCTCTTGGAACAAAGAAACAAAGACCTTTTAGCCTGAGGAAGGGAACATTTGATGGAACATTTGGCAATCCTTTGCCTGATGACAAATCAGCAGTTTTCCATCTCCTTTAACAAAACAGGCGCAGGCTGAAACTGCAGCCCAAGTGTTTACATTTGGAAGGCAAGCCTCCAGGCAGGGAGATGGGTGCTGGATGGGGAATCCAGAGAGATGGGTCCTTGCTCTTCTTGGAGCTCAGAACTCAGTCTTCTCCTCTGCAAACTGGGACGACATCATTCTGCAAATGCTGCCACTACCTACTACCTGAAGACACTTCATGCTCCCCGAGAGCTCCTGACTCACACAGGCCATGTGGGAAATTGGCCTGGACTTTTGGGGTGCAGGGCTGAGGCTGTGTCCTCCCTCCTTGATCACAGGCAGAGCACCTGGCACTGAGCCTCTCCTGGCAGCGCCTAGCCCAGCCCCACTTCCCTGTCCCTTCAGCCACACGTGGGCGCCTGGGTGTGTCACAGGGACCAGCTGCTGAGGCCTAGAGCAGGCACACACTCGTCCACATCCTGTGCAGCATGAGAGGAAGTGTCAGATGTCGGGGCTCTGGTGTTAGCTGTACCGAAACCTAACTCTGCCACTCACAGCTGCGTGACCTCGGGTCACCGAACCTTCCCAAAGCCGAGGATCTCCAAAAAAGCAATGGCATTAACGTCTGCCTTCTTAATAGCACAGTGCCTGGTTCCCAGTAGTGGCTTCATAAGCATTGATACTCTTCTACAGGAAGTAGCTAATATATTCTGTTACAGCTTTAAACGCGGGGGCATGCCCACCTTCCCTCCTCCCTCCCTACAGAGAGGGGACAGGGATGGTAAGACACTGAACTGAATTTCCCTACCCCCCAGGACACAAAAAGCCTCGAAGGGTCGCCTTTCCTTGGGGAGGGGGTGGCCTTTATAGCCGTGACAGAAGAGGGCAGTGATGGGGATATTATCCAGAGAGTAGATTCTTGTGGTGGCGGAAGGCGCAATGGGCAAGGTCCTGACATCCCTTCTCCTTCATCGGTGCCTTTACGTCCACGGGCATCTAGAAAGGACCTCTCAGGAAGAGCCCATGGAGGTCATTGTGAAGAGTCAGGTGCCATCAGAACATGCCTATAATACCTGCTAGGAACGGCTTACATAGGAGTTGGGGGTAGGCAAGGTATTTCAAGGTCCCTTCCAACTCTGTCATCCCGTTAAACGTGAGTTCTTATATTTTACAAGCCAGGAAAGCACAGTCACACTGCTCTCCCATCAGCAGGACTTTGTCAGATGCTTCCTGTGTGGTCCTGCCCACTAAGACATCCTGAGCATGATGACAGAGGCACAGAGGAATCTTCCTGTTATACATGGGTGTTGAACAGTGTCCTTGCATCTAAGGCAGGTCCCAATTTCAATTTTTGTCTCCAGCTCTATGAACCTGGCAAGAGCTCTGCTCAGATCCCAAGCCAAACTTCCATCCAAACAATCTAGACTGCTTGGGTCCTGGACCCTCCTGATCCATCTCCAAATGTACTTCCACATCTTTTATCCCACTTTTCAAAATAATATCAAAAAGTGCACAGGAGTCTTATATTTTGCCTACTAACCTTCCCATTAGGAAAGCTTCCAGTTTCCCCTGGATTATTCAATCCTAAAGCTCAGTTCTAATCCTGACATTCCCTTAGTTCAACTGTTTTCACCGGTTCTTCTTTGCACAGCATATAAATCCAAACGAATGCTCCAATCCAACCCCATTATTGCTGCACAGGCCTCATTCGTTCCTAACGCTGAGCCTTTCCTCACAGTATTCCCTCTACCTTGGACCCTCTCTCCAATACTTGTTTGTTAAGTCAGTGCCCCTCCACATCCACCTCCATGGCTCACCTTTCAAAACCCACCTTATATGGTCACCTTCACCATGAAGCTCCTTCCCCAATGAGTTCCCAGAGCCCCTTAAAGTAAGGTGACCAGACGTCCCGCTTTTGGCGGGACAGTCCCGATTTTTAACAATTTGTCCCACAGCGTTTTAAATATATTTTATTGATTTTTTTTTTTTACAGAGAGGAAGGGAGAGAGATAGAGAGCTAGAAACATCAATGAGAGAGAAACATCGACCAGCTGCCTCTTGCACACCCCCTACTGGGGATGTGCCCGCAACCAATGTACATGCCCCTGACCGGAATCGAACCTGGGACCCTTCAGTCCATAGACTGACGCTCTACCTCTGAGCCAAACTGGTTTCGGCAAAAATCGGGACTGTTCCCGCCAAAAGCAGGATGTCTGGTCACCTTACTTTAAAGCCGTCAGAGACATGCAGATAATCACCTTCAACCATGCTGTATCAACATGCAGTTATGTCTCATCTCCTCTAGTAAGATCTCAACTCTTGGCTGGTAGGGTCGACAGAGAATCAATCTCTCTGCCCCCCCTCCCCCCCTCCCCGCAATATCATATACATAACATCTATCCGGTATTTTAGACATTTCAAAGTACTAATATAAAGTCTGTCTCAATGTTCAAGTAACCCTGCTTGATAGCCAAGAAAACAGCACTGGTTCCTAGCGAGGAGCTTCAGGGAGACATGCACTGCCCTCACAACTGTAGAGCAAGCATGCAGCGAGTCTACGGTTTATACAGGGAACAGAGAACACTGCTTTCCCCTGGCTGAGAGAGCAGAGGGAGCTGCGGGCTTTACCCTCGTGTGTCTGGCCAGATATTATGAAAGACCACAAGGAGGAAACGTGTTCATGGCCACTGTGGAAGCAGCGACACAGCCACCGCCAAGTAAGTAACCCAACCACAGACGTCCCCCCTGCCCCTCTCCTTGGACTCTGGAGCCTAGGGTGTCCAGGCGAGGGTCACACCTTCTCCCTGAGTGGTAGCCCAGGCAGCTTACACCTGGAGCAGCTGGTGGAGAACCCGAGAGCACACAGGACTAGAGCCAGAAGGGCAAGCCTGTCCAGTGCTTTCTCAATGACACCCACGCAGCTTGTGCAAGGCCCTCTCTGTTCCCAGTCCAGCCTCGGAAAGAGGGACTTTGGCCTAATTAGCTAAGTCCCACTCTCTCGAACAGGCTTTCATTCTTACGCATCACTGACCCCCATTGGAGGGGCTGTAAATTCTGAGCAAGTTCCCTGTAGCTCCTGATAAACACACACTCACAGGGTGCCCAGTGAGCATGTTCCCGGTATTTGCTTCTGCATTTATATGCTACATACAACTGTGAGGTGGCACAGGACTCAGGTCTCTTGAGGAATTAAGAGAACTCATCAAAACCACAAGTTTAACAAAAAATAAAAACACAAATAGAAGGATCTAGTTAATCGGCTGGGAGAACTTTAGAGGACCCTTCAAATAGGAGAGATTTGAAGCTGAAATAACCAATACATTGGAAAGAGTGAAGAGGCAGGAGAAGGCAAGCTCAGGGACCTATCTTTTGTGCCCTTGTGTGTACTTTTAGCCCCATTTTAAAGATGAGAAAAGTGAGGCATAAGATCACGTGGCAAGCAGGTTGTAGAGTTGGGTATCAACCTGGGTGTCTGTCTTCACCTTCCAGACACAAAAGAGAGGAGACAGAGCACAGGTTGTTGACAAAGGTTGAGTCAGAGATGGCAGAAAGAGAAAGGAGGAGACAGTAGAGTTTCTTTTAGGAGGACAATAGATCTTGGGATTGCTGTTCTGAAGTACAAAGTAAAAATAGAGTATAATAATGATATCAATTATAATCATTACTATCTATATAACTTCTTAAAATGTACAAAATATTTTTATTTCGCAAAACAAATATTCTATTTAAATTCAGTAAAGTAATATAAATTATATTCCACACACACACACACACACACACACACACACACACTTATTTATTTAGAACATAATACAACCTAGAAAGAACAGAAGTTAAAAATTCTGGCTCATTTTAACGTTGCCAAAACAAAACAAACAAACAAACAAACAAACAAACAAACAAAATAAACCCCACCAAAGCTGAATACTATTACACACTCTCAAGTTCAATGAGAACAATCATGTAAACAGGACCATGAATGTGCAGAACAGAAAAAGAGATGGGTAGTGCTCAGAGCTTAAACACAGAACAGTGCACTCCCAGGACAAAACAGGCCTGGGTCTGTTTCGAGTACCTTTGACCCCAACATGGTAAAACCGGATGACCCAAAGGATCTGTCCCAAAGGACCCTACCTTGCCAAATACTCCCAGCTCCCAGCTCCCAGCTATCCTAAACTCTGCAGCAAAATTCTAAGAGTCTCATAAAATCTCCTCTTTCTTAAAAAAGAGCCAAGGAACACTTTTTAAAAAAATATATATTTTATTGATTTTTTTTTTTTTTGCCCACCTCCCTCCCTCCCACATATCCCCTCCCTCCCCAGAGTTTTATGTCCATTGGTTGTACTTATATGCATGTATAAAAGTCCTTCGGTTGATCTATAATATTATCTCCCCCAGATCTCCCTCCCCTCCCCGCTGTAATTTGACAATCTGCTTGTTGGTATACTGTCTCTATATCTATCTTTTGGTTCATCAGTTTATAATGTTCT